TACACAGAGACAATGTGTACACATACACACATACTTAAAGTTTGCCAAAGAAAACACATATACATCCTGAATGCCTTAATTTTGTTATAAAAATAGAGAATGAACGTTACCTTAATCAAGTCATATAAGACATAGCATTTTAAGATATCTAAGCTAGAGTTGTGATAGCATTTTAATAAACTATGCTCATTTTCTTACCTCCTTCCTGGCTTACACTGCAATATTCATGTTGCCAATAGAATCTAGAGTCCTAAACCCTTATTCAAAGTTTTTAAAATTGTTGATATTTGGAAATAAATAATTTCTTTCAACTGTTAGCTTATTATCACTCCTCTTAACTCTGAATAAGTCTGCATTTTCCTGCTTGGGTTGATGGGTTTGACATCTGTGAAAAGAAAAGATTTTGAAAGAAAATCAGTGAATCTAGGTTACATGTGAGTTGTTGATAAACTGAAAGCTGCCACAGAAGAAAATTGGATAGTGTCCTACTTACATGATTATTAAATAGAGTCTGGGTCGCACATATACATTTTATTCCTGACGGGTATTGGTTGGATCCTTCTTAAATCTTATGAAAAAATAATGTTGTAAAATGTTCCTCTGGGGGAGTCCGTGGCTGACTGTAGTAGCTGTGGTTGAAACATGTGCTGTGGTTGGCTCTATCTTGGAGCATATGCTCTTTAAATCTTCCTGGTTTAGAGTGTATGTAAAATACTCTATGCCTAAGGCAGGTGTAGTGAGAAGCATTCATTTTCTCAGAACACCTTAGAAATAAGCACATGGGCTTAGGATTAAGGTGGCATGGGACCTAACTTGTCACACTATCTTGTTTGATAACCGAGGATTTTATGTTTCAGTTAAATCTTAATGCAAAATATGGATAATAAAAACAGTATTAGGAGTTATATGCATGTGCCATAGAGAATGCACTAAAATGCACAAAAAATAATGAATTTGTTGAGATAAGAGGGAGAGAGGAAATTGGCTTCATTGCATACCTGTTAGTTGTCATGCAAGAGGACTATGTGATTCACATTTATTTTCCCATATTATTCCACAACCAGCTAATAATGTAACATTATCTCATTTTAAAACTTTAGAAGATGAGGTTAGGAAAGTTCAGGGATGTACCAATGGTCACACAGCTATTAGGTGTCTTCAGATATCTAGCCATGTAGGAGCATTCACTGTGCCATGCTAACCTGGGTTCAACTTCTGCAAAGATCACAGCAATAATTATATAATCTTTGTGATCTGTCAAAGTGGTTGGGGCAGACAATCTCTAAGTTCCTTTAGAGTGCCAAACATTTATGACTCAGATATGAGAAAATTTTGGTTTTGATTTTACTGTACTTACCATGTCTGTCACTATGCTGAGATGTCAAACTAGCCTTCCAGTCTGCAAAAAGAATTTGTCTGAGTAACCCACATGACAAAGGTGTCTACATTAAGGTACGAAAACTATTCTATTACTTAAAGCACAATTCTTTTCTTTTTCTCAACTAAGCTATTATCTCAATACCAGTTGTAAAAGAAGAAATAACCTCTGGATGTGCTAGTATAGTTCATTCACAAGATGGTCTGTATTATGCACAAGGAAATTAGAAAAAGTGAACTAGTTTGGTGAGTGTAAACATTCTATATAAATATCCAAGTATATATACATAAATATAGGAGAAATCATGTTTAAATGCAACCTGTGGGTTTACTGTTGCTGATTGATAACCATGTTCCATAGGATGTTAACATTAAAATATGTTTTCAATGTATCTATCTGAGCCATGAAAATACCTTTATAAAGAGCACTTTATTCTAAATTTTAGCTGAAACTTATTTGATATTTTATCATTTTTACTTGGCTCTTCTCCTCCCTCACCCAAAATTATTTTGTGAATGATAAAAAGCCACACTGAATTAATGAGAACACTCTTGCTATTTTTTTTTCTCATTTGGTTCACATTTAGTTGGAGGAAGTAAAAACATTTTTGTTGAAAAGAATCAGTACCACTTCTTCAATTAGGTCAGGGCTTCCTGCCATTTAAAATTGACAGAAAAAGCAAAATGTACCAGACTGCGACACTGGAAATAGAGCTATCAGGCCTCCCCAGGATCCCTGGTCCTGGGTTTGACCTCAAATCCCTTCTGCCCAGAACTCGAGACTATTTGGAAGGCCTTTGCAGCTGGCCTCCTGAGACAGAAGGAAGTAGCAGAAAACTTGGAAATACTACAGTAAACCTGACATTATGCTGCAGTTGGATGCACTAGATCATTGAAAGAAAGAACGTCATCTTGAATAAATATTTTTTTTAAATATTCAAAGGTAGGTTTTATGTAACTGATATGAAGACAGCCAAACATAGACATAAGAGGAATAAAACAGATTTTAACGTAAGCTCACAACCACATCATAAGGAAATAAAGTAATGTAGAAAGAAGTGTGGTTAAGAGAATAAGCTTTGAAGTCAGAAATCTGGGTTTGCATTCTAGCATGAGCACTCATTAACTGTGTGACCTTGAGCAATCTCTCACTCTCTCTGATCCATAATTTATTGAGCGATTTGTAAAACAGAGATATTAAGACTATCTCTCATGGACTTGTGCTGAGAATTAAATTGAATGATTTATGCAAATTGGTTAGCACATTACTTGGCACTGAGTAAACACTTTAAGAATATTAAACATCATGGTTATTATTGTTTCAAGAACTTACTTCAATCAGATGTCCACACTTTGAAAGGATTTATTCTCCTGGGTAACAGAAAAAACAAGAATGTCAACAATTATGTAAAAGAGTAAATGTAACAAGACATTATAAAGTAAATTATATCTTTGCTACTAATTTCTTTTTTTGTTTTTTGCCATTAGCTTATTACATTTTATTCCCTGTTTTTATGTGCATATGTTAATAATACCTTAGATGGAAAATAATAAACACGTTCATAGTTTAGAGTTGCAATTGCTGTTTTTGGAGCAAATTATTAATACTTTAAACAACTACAATTTATTTATTAAATTTATTTATTAAAAACACACATGTCCCAAAACAAATTATATACACATTATCTAGTAAAAACTACTTTTGAGTATCTTAAATAGAGAATCATAGTATGGACATTTCCATTTCCATATGCATGGTATAATTTTAAGATAAACTCAATAATTATTTATAAATATTTATTTGTTTTAAAATATATGGAAATGCTGAGCAATTGTACCCTGTTGGATAGTCACATAACACTTTTAGTTTGAGGCAAGATGTGATTGGCATTGTTCTCAGAGATTACTACTCAAATGATAAAGATTCAGTGACTGTGCTTGAAAAAAACATAATCAGTAGAGTGATTTGGTTGTATGTCATCAGATGGATAGGAAGTTATTCTAAATTTGTAGAGGAGAGTAAAAGGAACTGTGACAATTTAACCAGGAGAGAAAAAAAAGACTAAAAGCTCACATTTTTAGGACAATCAGTCCTTGTTGAATCAAAACAAAACCATGGAATTGCATTATATATTGTCAGGTGAGAAAATAATGTTTTCTAATTGTTAACCCAGGGTTTCAAAACCTTACTAAAGTGAGTTTTAGTCTCAGAACTGCTCAATAAGTGAGTTAATGAATAAGCAAATAAATAAATAAAAATTAGGAAATGTCACATAGGGAAGCTATGATGTTTCTTCAAAGGATCTCTTTTAGGATACATTGACATTTGTTGTTTCTGAACAGAGTAGGCAACTCCTGCCCAGAAACAAGCATATCATATAATCTTCAAATCTCCCTTCCTTGAAGATTTATTTCTAAAATCATTTCCCAATAACACTTCTCTTTCAAAACTCAGAAAATAAACTAGCCCAACTCTGAATATAGCCTTCAATTTTATATTCCTTGTCATTTCAATACCTGTCTTAAGTTTTAATCATGTAAGCTGATCGCATTGCAGCACAAGGTCAAAGAACACTTGTAGAATCAGAAACCTCTGAGGGGACTGGTCATTTAGAATTTTTCTTCACTTGGCCAAGCTCCGCCCCGATCCCAAACGTCTCCTCTGCTAGAAGTCCTCTTGGGGAAAACGGCTAGGGAGCTCACCAAAGTTCGGACCTGACTCACCAGAAGCGTTACATGGAGGCGCCCCGTCTCTTCAGCACCTCCTACCTAGTCCGGGCGAAAGTGCTGAAGGGACAGCTCCAGTGTTTTAGGTCATTTCGGTAAGCGCTCCCAGGAAGACAGCACCCGTCTCCTCCCTGCTACAAACACCCATTCACAAAATCCAGGGAGAGAACTACAGTCGTCTCTGATTCCTTGGAAATGTAGTTAGACTGATGTGGAAACACACCCTCCTTCTCTAAGTGTATAATTATTCGTGGGTGGAGAGCCACCAGGGAGAGGAATAAAAGAGGGCAGAGAAAAAAAGTAGAAGAGGCTTTTGTCCTGACTTCTAAAAATCTTTTTGTTAATCTTCTCTCCTCCCCCTCTTCAATTTTCCTAATCCCGAGAATTATGGAGTTCGAGGCAAGCGAATGATTCCGGAAATGGAGATATGACTCTCAAACCTAGAAATGATCCGGGCGATTTATTCAAAGTTAAATACTCCTCATCCTAGGAACCCAGCACAATCCAAATTTAAGGGAGCCTGCGTTTTCCCCATCATAACATAAACAGACAAACAGTTGCCTTCACAGATTAAAAACCCTGTTCCGGAGCGCGTTTTTGCTGTCCTCTAAGCTACAGACTAAGATGGGATGGAAAGCGCTCACAACCTGTGAAAGTGCGAAAGACTCTCTAAACCCGGTGGCCAATTCCCTACTGGCCAGAACTCTTCCCTACAATCCCTCATCATCCGTGACTCTGCAAGACACAGGGACCAGACATGTGTGTGGGAGTACGTGTGAGGGAGAGGAGAGAAGAGCATCGCTCTCCACATGTGTAACCCTGCATCGCCCTGTTTCGTAGCTTGCATTCATTCATATGCATGCAGTGGTTAAATATTTGATCAAAGGTGAAATAGTTATACTGATCAGTTGTATTTTTAATGGACATCCCTTAAAATAGAGTGCTCATAGATTGAAAGTGTGAAAAGATTCTAAGTGTCGTCCGTATGTCTCTAACCCTTTCTACCCTTCCCTCCCCCATTCCTATTCCCCCCAAAAGGGAAAGCTTGCAGCAGATTGTAGAAGGATTTGAGTCTGCAGCTAGAGAGAAGGGGATTAGGGCCAGCGCGGTGCAAGTTAAATTGTGCTGCATATAAAAAATGGGCGGATTGGTCTCCAGATCCAGAGGCTGGTACCACCTTCCTTTCTAAAATAAAATCTCTCTGGCATGAAGTCACCGCCTATTTCACATCCGGTTTGCCCTGGGACGTATTACTACTGTCTTGGTAAAGAGAAATCTTTTGTTGTATAGCTGCAGATTGGATATTGGGAAGCAAATTTGGGTGTGAAATCTTCAGCAAAGGAGCACGCAGAGTCCATGATGGCTCAGACCGAGTGAGTGAGAGGCAGAGCGAGGACGCCCCTCCGCTCCCGGCGCGCCCGGACTCGCGGACTCGCGCTGGCTCCAGGATCTCCACGATTTTCTCTCGCAGACTTTTCCCGGGTCTTGAGCGATCCTGTGCCCAGAGGGGGCCCGAGGTAAGTGCGGCTTGGGACTGCAACACATAGAGCTTTGAACGTGGCTTTTCCTAGCTGGAGAGACAGGAATGCTATAGACAAAACAGAAAGAGGGAACAGGACAAGAGCGTGATCCCATAGCAGGTAGATACAACGAATGTTTTTCTTTCTGGGCGAAAACCGCAGCGATAGGAGCGTTATTTTCTTCTCTGTCTCTCTCTTTTTCTTTCCCCCTTTCTTAGGCAGATTTGAATTTGTTCCGCGGGGTGGGTGGTGACATGTTGTTTTGGTCTTTTCTTGCAAGAGGGAGCTGGGATGAGGTGGGGAGGGGCGTTGGGGGCCATCGTCTAAAGTTACGACGCTGGGACAGAAAACCTGTCTCGATGTTCTATCCTGGGGAAGGCACTCTCTCGTTCTGGCTGTAAAAATGCCTTTCTCCTTTCCAGTGGACGCTGCTGATATGCCCTCTGGTGTAGGGGTCTCTCCCATTCTGCACACGAAAAACTCAACTTATCATTTGATATGGGTGGCATGGGGTATGGGTATCGGAGTACGTGTGTTTGATGGGGGGGGGGGTTGAAGGTGGAAAGGGGTGAGGAGGGAGCTTAGCATTTCTTTTAAACTGTTCTGTTTGCATTTGCAAGAAACTTTCTTAACAACTCGAGTGCCATGATACGTTTGTTTTTCTCTTTTTAAAATGTCAGAGGAGGACAAAAAGCTCTGGTACCTTGCCTTGGCGTTTTGTTTTCTTTCATTTACCCCTTCAGGCATTACCTTTTTTTATAAAGACCAAAAAATATTCAGAGTCAAAGAAGTTGTTTTTCCTTCATAACAGATGTTGAAGATTAATAAAAGGGTGAATTATAATTGTGGATTTAGGTGCAATATTTTAACATAATGATATTTATCCAACATTTCTTGTCATATTCAACTCATCTGTGTCAAAACCAGCCACTAAATCAAATAAAAATTATGAAGCTCATTGCTCTTATCTCTAGATTTAGACCATTTCACTCTAAACACATCAATTATGTTTCATTGCTTACGTGCCTGTTTGTAATGGTTTTTACTGATATAAATGATACCCGAGAGTGTGGAAGGCATTTGTGTAGATGTACGTAAAAGCAGACCACATTAAAATATAGAGTGCTTAATGAAAAATAAGCTTTAAAAGACTTGCAATCCATTAATCATTGACTCTGCTAAAGAGTATAGATCCAGGGAAGTGCTAACAGATACCTTGAACATTTCTCAAATTATGGTTGGAATTAATTCTAGCATATTAAAATAAAGTGTTACCATACCTGCTTCTTAACCAGGTAGTGCACTGATTTTTAAAAATTGACTCCACAAATTGATTACAATTTTTAAAAATTCTCTAAGCTCTCCGTACTCCTCCATTCCTCCAGCATCCCACTACCAAGTCTAAATTCAACAATCAGATGGTGATTGATTGCACTTTACCTAAGAGAGAAAAAAAGATTCCCTTATTCATGCAAAGCAAAGCACTCCAGCTTCCATCTGTTTGAGATGAAACATTTTCCAGCAGCAACCTGGCAGAATTGGAGAGGGCTTAAAAGATGCGTGTGCGCATGTTTGTATACATTTATGTGAGTGTGGTTTGTGTGTGAGAGGGAGATCAGCACATGGCTTGACTATAAATTGTGTCCTTTAGCCTCACAGAAGCATTAGTGAGCATATATAAGAAGGCAATCACAGGCAGAGACTAAAAGCATGACTTCGGCATTCAACAGTGTGTTTCCTATGGGTTTTTAAAAAAAGATAAATATGGTTGCTTCTGAAATCAAGGAACATCCAGAATTCAAAGATGAATTCAGTCATCAAAGCATATTAACCTATCCCATCCCAACCCCCAAACACGCTTTCCCTGTTATAGACACCAGCTTAAAAATTTCAGTGCACAGTTTAGTTGTGGCAACTCAAATCAGAAAGGTCAAAATTTTCGGATGATAAGCAACAAGAAGAGAGTAATTCAAACTATATTGGAAATATAAAACCTAGAGAAAAAAAACAACTCACAGTTTTTATGTTGAGCAATATTGTCACCTGAAAGCATTTCAACTTGTATTCTTTTGCAGGAGACATTAAGACACTGATATATTTCTGAATGGAGAAATGGAAGGGAAAAGTGGAGAATGGATGGTCCAGGTTTCCATTGCTTCCAATGAGGTGTCATATCCCAGTGAGGTCATTTCCTGACTTCAAAGCATTCATCTGAACTGCCTCAGTCAGCCCTAGTGGTTATAACCTGATGTTTCTTGCAAGAGACATTGATCTCTACTTGTTCTACTTTTCAGCTGCACAAGCCCGCGATGAAGAAAAGTCCGGATCTCTCTGACTATCTTTGGGCCTGGACCCTCCTTCTGGGCACATTGACTGGAAGAAGGTGGGGACACTTTATTTTAAATCTGCATGAGAATTTCTGCAACTTTTTCATTTATTTTTTCAGGGGGAAGAAAATTGTCCTTAGATGAATTCATGACTAAGGGAATTCAAAAAACTTAACTGCAATAAAATTTCAGCTAAGAATAAAGAAGAGCAGTGTGAAAAAATAATCATCTTATTTGCATGTTGGTTAGAATACGTTTAGCACACTTTTGTTAAGGAATGTATTAACATTAAAGTCTTAAATTGAACTTTTCAACTGTTCAGTTGTAACTGAACAAAACATGCGGTTTCCTAATTCATAGAAAAAGTTAACCCAGTTAATGTCTACATACCATGAGAGTTAGTTTTCCAACAAGAAAATTTCTAGCCAATTGGAAAGATCATAGAACAACTTATGACTATAAGGAGATAGAAAGTTTGAAACAATATTTGTAATTTGAAAGTCATAAGGCTCTGTAAATGTATGTGCATATTATGTTTTGAAACCATTATTTATATAACCAATAGAGATAGACTATACCAGAAAAAATTTTAAGAACATTAGATAAAATCAAACTTGTCTATTTAAGTGTAACTACTTTGGAGACAAGTCATGGGCAAAATTTAATAATATGCTTAACCATATTCAAAATACTTGCTAATGATTCAATCAAGCGTATAAACATTTTATAGTAGCAACCATATAAATGACTAAATATTTCAGATTCTCTGTAATCTGCTTTTATATTTCTTGTTTAGTCTACTCCTATGGCACGTAAGAAAGTCTCAGACATATTATAAAAACCTGAGATTATTCAAAATGGAACAGAAAGTGAGCCCTTATGAGTTAAGGCAGAGAAGTGGAATTGTCTGGAAAGACATGAATTTAGAGGATGTTTTAAATTGAGAAGTTGTCTGTTTTTGTTTTTGCCTCTCCTGTATGGTAAATAATGAGTGCCAGATGAATGGGAAATGCATTATTGCCAGATACTCTTAATCTGAGGAGTTAAATGTTCTTCACTGCTTTTGAGAAATTATCTGAAGTGTTACTATTGTAATGACCTGTAGATGGAGTCAGTGCACAGTGTTTTATTATATAGTGGTTCATATGGAATCAAAATCAGGTACTGCAACTGACATTTGTCTTCAAATTATATGTTCAATTTAGGAAACATTACATTGGCATAAGTGTTTAATAGCAAATAAATAATCTTGATCTTTATCCTAGGGTTGTTCTCTGACAATTACAATTGGACACAGTAAATTAGAGGTGAAGACTAAGAATAACCTGATTAGAAAATCACGTAAAAGAAAGATTATCATTCCAATTGGGATGGTGGAACTAGTTTTCTGGGAGGGAGGGAAAAGCGTCTTTCAGGTGTTTGTATTCCAATGCAAATATTTGGTGAAAACAGCATTTATAAGACAAAATCAGGGGAAAGAAGCATTTTCTGAATTTGATATAAACTGTAAAAACAAAGGGAATGCAAGTAAAGATAATAGACAACTCCATGTTCTAGGAATCGTATTAACAGTCTAATTGTGCTCTGTCATGTCCCCATCTCATCTTTTCCTCCCTTCTTATTTTACTGCTTTCTTCTTTAGACTACTTGATCAGGCCCTCCTCACAACTTAAGGTGTGCTAGCATTTCTTTTCCACCTATGTCAAGATGACCTTCCAATATCCTTGAAAGATGCATGCATGGCAGTTGTTTTTGTGACAATGAGTTTTAATAAACAATTGCATTTGGAAAACTATTTTTGCTTTCTGCACTCATATGCTAATGAGACATCCTGAAAGACACAGAGCTCGTTGAAAATTTAATTTCAAAAACTAGTAAGATGTTTAATTTTGCCAAAGGACAGTAAACTCTCAATCTGCAGGGTATTAATGTTGAATTTAGGAGAATGAAAAATTATTTCATCAAGATGTGTTTCGTATGTTTAATATCTTCATTAGCTTTTAGTTATAATAGCTTTGTTAAATTAAAATTTTCTCATAAAAATGGTTGTTGCATTTTGCCGATATAAAATTAATTACCTAAAAAATAGTGTTTGTTTTTGAAATGATGCTTTGATTATCTTTCTTGCTCCTGTCAAATGAATGAATCCTGGTTTCAAATGTTACTGTTTTGCTTAGATTGATCAGTAATATAAACACATACGAGTGAAGCCAAAAGCACACTAAATAGAAACTATGAAAGTGATATTTTTGTGGCAGTTTCTTAGTTTACACTCTATATTCGTTTTTGTTTACTCAAGGTCAGAGCTATCATTGAAATATATCAGTGAGTGTAATCCATCTTAAGATGGGAAACTCTTCTCTCAAAGGATTTTGAAGGTGTCATCCTAATCATTACATAAAATATGGTGCAAGGAGCATAGATAATAATGTGATTGATGTAAGAAATACACAATATTTGAACTGCAGTAACTAGCGTGAAACTCAAAGACTGGTAATGGTAAGGGATAAAAACTATACCTTCAAGTAGGAAGATCTAAATAGAAACAATTTCTCCAATATAGAAGAATGGAAATAAAGTTTTAGGCAAAAAGTTGAAGAAAACTGGGTTCTAGTTCAAGCTGTGGTCATGAATAGCCGTGTTTTCTTAAAGAAAACACTAATCTTGCATTATAGTTTAGTAAACCATATATTAAGAATATTGGACCATATCTTTTTCAAGGTATCTTTTACTTCTAAGACCAGAAATAACATTCAATTAATTAGAGGTTGGACTAGATAAGATAAAAATTTGTTCATAAACTTTAAGGGGAATGGAAATTGCACACTGATGTAAAATATAATTGTCCTAAGAAACAAGTTTTATCTATTTTTCTCATCTAAATGTCTTGACAGCATCAAAACAAAACAGTTATATATGAAGTGGATGAAGGAAAGGATGTTGGTAGGCAAAATCTTAGGCTTACGCTACATGTTAAATGAAAACAAAACTATTAATTATTTTGGTATCTCATAAATGCATATATCTACTCAGGAAGAAGTTTCTCAGATTTGTTTTCCCTAGCATGCGTTAGCAGTCTTGCTCGCCCCAAGAAAATAGGCACTACAGCATTGTACACATTCTGAGAATTATAAAAGAAAAGAGACAGAACTCGTTTCCTGGAATTTTCCTTCCATAGTTAGAAATATTAGAATAAAGAGCTTACCATCTATGAGAAAATGGAAGAATTAGAGTATAACTTTTTTGCTTTACCAGAAGGGCTTTTCAAATTAAGATCCAATAGAAAGGAATGTAGGAAAATGTGGGGAAGACTTTATTTGGAAAAAGGTTTGAGTAGAAATGTATAATTTAGATATCACCTCTATGCTTTTTTCAGCTGTGGACAACCATCACAAGATGAACTTAAAGACAATACCACTGTCTTCACCAGGATTTTGGACCGACTCCTAGATGGTTATGACAATCGCTTGAGACCGGGATTGGGAGGTGGGTCCATTATTTTTTGTTTTTAATTTTAGAGAACAATATTAGATCTTTTCTATTAATGCCATGCTTTCCTTCTAAATGGTAAAGTAATAGGAGCGGCAGTATGTAGTTTGACAACTAATCCTATTTTTAATAGATTGCTCAATGTTAATTCAATTTACCATGGTAGTTCCATGCACATTCCCCTACGTAGTAAAAGGCAGATACAAATTTCTCATAATGATACGAAAGAAATGCTGCATTTACTTGACAATCATAATGTTTTCCTTGTAGTGATTTCCTTATACAGGGAAAACATAGGGGCAATATTCTCCCTTCCAGCCCAAAGACTGCATCTCCTTCATTCGGCATTGCTATGTCTGCGTTGAATTCAAGTAGAATATCTCTCATCTATTGCTCCAAACATTTGTTTTGGAATATTGATCACTATTGTTTTGGAATATTGATCACATATTGATCGCTATTTTGTGTTATATTACCATCACCTCTAGGATAAAAGGTGAATGAGACAGATGGTAATTTGTTTTAACCATGCATTTGAACTTAAACCTTAATGCTCTATAGTAAATTGTATTTTTCTTTGTATACCAATTAATTGGTTATACTATTAAATTTCCACTTTGGAAGAAAATAGCACTTACAAATACAATATTTATAACTATAAGAGTAAATAGTGCTAGACATTACACACTTATTTGAATAATGCTTGAATACAACAATCAACCTGTCTTATATAGTTAAACAAAGTCTAATGAAGCCAAAAGAAAATATTGATCTCAGAGTAAAAGAAGTGAAGCGAGGAAATACATTATATTTCAAAGTCACATAAGAAATCAGGGTTAGAATCTATGATTTCCAACTATGACTTATGCTGTACCTTCTCGAAAGCATGTGTAGAAAGTATTCAATAGCAATACTGAAATTACAATTAAATGGCAATATTAAGAAAATCATCTCTTCTTCATTTAGACAGTGAAGATTTGCAAACAATAAGAAGCTTAAGAATTCAAATTTCGATTTTAAAACTAAATGATAGCATGGATTTAGTCTTTTTTTTTTTTTTAATACTTCGGATAGTGTAATCACATGGATGTGGATCATGGGTCTGTTTTGAAGTTGCCAAATATCATCAGTGTTTCAGAGGTTTAAGGGGAACTGCTTTATCAAGGACACAACTGGAATACACGTCAAAGGTCTGACTAGGTGTCCTTTCTTACCGATCTCAAGCATTCATTCTAGGACATGTGATTCAAGTTTCTTCAAGTTTGTACTCTACCTACTTTTCCTTTACTAAGTTCTTAGGAAGAAAACCTTAAGGAACAAAGGTATTGGTCACAAAACGGAGTGCATAATTGTGTATGTGGTGTATTAATAGAATGTCTGTGCATATCTAAGCAGCTGGATTGGCTTCAGGAAAGTCCTTCTTCATTCAGAAAATTTGAAATAAATTACAAAGACTGCAGGTAGGGGAGGAATGTACAAAAAGAAGAAACAGTCAAGATAGTGATGTAACTTTTGAAAAGCAAGACTTTCTAAAGGACTGATGGGCAAGTGTCTGATTTCCTTACTTATTCTCTTTCCCACTTCATGATATCAATCCTTACAAAATCAGTAGAATTTTATAACACATCTAGAAAACCTTGTCTTCATTCTAGTTTAGGAAATCCCAATTAATACTTTAATATGTGAATATGAGTATCCTCTGTAAGTTCTGTGCATAGTTTTCAGTTTTGTTATAGAATTTTACATATACACACACGTACACACACACACACCCCTTGTTTAATGATCAGCTGTGTGGTTGTATTGTTGTTTGGAGTACAGGTAACAAGTCCATGACTGCTCATTTACATGTAATTACATGTAATAACTCTTTAATAAATGTGTATGTTGGCTTTTTAATCAAATACAGTGTAAGCACAAAGTATTTTACCTACTCCTCATATCTGCACCCATGTTTTGGAGAACCACAGACCTTAAGGAGGTGTAATGTAGACTAAGAATAGGTTGAAAAGTTAATTTTCAAAACGCAAGATAACGGTAGTTTTGTTAACAAAAACAACTACATTAATTCATATGGGAATATTACTGTTTTCGTAGAATCTACTTTTATTATCTATTTAATCTCCCAAAAAATAACAAAAATAGACATGTATTTAAAGAACAGAAATAGTAGTTGGCCAAATATAGACAAGGTACAATCTTTTTAATTGAAATGGATATAAAGTGCTATAGTAATAGAGAATTCAAGGACTTTGGAAAATTAAAAAGAATGAATGTGCTTTAACCTTTGCTAAAGTTGATTTTTTTGATTTTTATGATTCTTGGAAACAGTGATTTTCAGGATATGATAGACATTAAAATGAATTAAAAAGTAGCTCAAATATCTTCCTTCATTTCTATTTTATGTATCATCCTGGAACATATTGCAATTAAATTTGATGGATTTGAGATTTATGAAAAAGCTTTAATACTGACTAACTTAACTGTTATTATTGTTTTTAGAGTGCACTTTTTAGCCTTAAGGGATTAATGCCATGTGCTTCTTACATACATCTCCACAGTCATTAACATTTTAAAATACATTTTAAGAATGTCTCGCTGTCTTTAGAAAACAATACCTTAAGATATTAAACATAGTTTTTAGATATTTTTAAAAACATAATCTGCTACAGAATAAGAAAAAAATGCTAACATCATGATTTCTAGATACTATAAATTGAAATTATCCAATATATATTTTTCTGCAGAATTATTTAATTTTATTTCTTTACCATAGATTTCTGGCAAGTTAAGTATGACATGCATTCCAGTAGATCTCCATTGCAAAAAGGGACCTTTTTTTTTTTAACATGATCCATTTGATTTCAGATGAAAAGACTATGTAGAAGAAATACTCAAAAGATGATTATCACTAGCTTATAAGGGGTAAAAATTTCCTCTTAAGTAGGTTCATGATCACAGCTGGGATAATCTTCTTTTGCAAGAGAAAGGGGCCCACTCTCTTCTTATTACAACAAAAGTCTGGTTTTATAAAAATCACAACACTGTGCAGAAGGCAGGGATATTTCGTTCTGAATATCCTCAGAAAATACAGAAATGCTATCAGCTAAGACTTCAGACTAATGTAAGAAACTCTTGTTTGTGCAAATTCATCTTTAGCTGTTTGCAGAAACACACAGCTCATCAGAAGGTGGAGCATAACTCTTTGGAGATGCACACCCTAGGTCCAATAACTGAGAAACACAATATATAACTTGGTTCATCCTGCTGATGGAAATCAGTCTGTGGACATTGTAACACTATTTAGAAAGGCTACCTTTTCAGGGCCAAGAGCACTCCTGAGAAACTGAAAAGAAACGGATAACAGAAAGAGAGACATCCTGGAAAAAAGAAACTTTTTTCTTTTTTTTAGATAGAAGAGCTAAAAAGAATAAGAATGTGTGGAATTCTAATAATATACTCTGTTCAGGACCATAATGAGAAAAATAAATTGGCCATGTTCATATTTTAAGTGCAAAGTTAAGGACAAAAACTTTGAATAGACTTCAATTGAAATACTCAGTAGCCAAAAAATACAAAGCCAATTGTCAGTAATTGTTGAAATCATTTTCATTTAAAATCTCTTTCTTTGAGGACACGGCGCAAAGGGCTGCTGCTTCATTGCAACCAGAGCCTGATGAACGTTTGTGAGAGGTTCTTGCCTAAAGCCTGGTCCAGATGGAAGAATAAAATGTTTGGGGACAGTAGGGGGAGGGAGGCAGGTAAAAGCCAGAAAAAATGGGAAGATAAGAAAGAAAGAAAAGGTTAGAGAAAAAAGGAGAGAAAAAGAGGGTACTGAAATTAAGGAAAGAAAATAGAAGGGAGAGGGATGGAGATTGTGAAGGAGGTCAGCTCAGAGGAGACGGTAAAGGAGAGGCATCTGTGTTTGAAGATGGGTGGGCTCAGGTGTCCTTGATTAATCAAGATTCCTTGTTTTATTTTAAATCAGGACCAAACCAAATACTATGTGAGAAAATTCGTTTTCCCAAGGTTTCTCCTTGTTGAGTGTGATTATAATAAACTAAAGAAGGCTGGATTTTCTCCAACTTCCTAAAAAATTCAATGATGTTGCCCTGAACTGAACCCACCTGGGTAAAATTTCAGCTACCATCATCGCAGCTCCCCATGCACTCTGGGTGGGGGGGCAAAACCGCCCCATAAGCATAGATCCAAAACTTAATTCTGAAGGAATCTTACAGGTTTTTAAGGACAAGTAAGGCCCCTCCAATGACAGCTTTCCCTTCCCTTTGGACCCATTATATATACAACCTACCCTTTATTGATGATGTGACAAAATCCCAGGTGAGCCAGGCAGATGCTGTATAGTTTATTGTCTGGAACATACCACCAGGCTGAGGGTTTGCCCTTCCTCCTATGCACGGGCTCATTGTCACGCATCTAGCTGACAAAAGACATGTTCTTCTATAAACGATTTCATTTCACTTCTTGGAAAATAGATTAGGGCAAAATCATTTCTGCATGGAACTCAAACAGGATAGTGCCAAAAGAAGGAGATCTTGGTTTAGCCACATTTTAAAGGAATTACAGAACTTTTCTCCCTCTCCTTCCCTGCTAATGGTAGTTCCTGGAAATACTGTATAATTTCTAAATTCTGCCTTAAATTTAATGTCAATAAATAATGTATGGGATGCTGGATGTCTCTCAAAGATTTTATCATCAAACCATATAGAGAAAGAAAGGACAGGAAAGAGAGACAAATGCGTACTCATCATGTAACAAAATCCAGATGGATGGGAGGAGAAGTAGATAAATAAATAAGTAGGTAGAGAATTGGTTTTTTTTTTTTCCTACTATACCCTTAACAGATATTTAGTTAAGATCTTCTTTTTCCTGTAAGTGTTATAGAATTGAGGGAGGAACAGTGTTTTAGATTTTACTTAATTGAAGGTGTCAGTTAGATGAATATCTGTAACCAGAGTGTAACCGGGGTTTTCTCT